CCTGCACTGAAATTGGCCGTCCCACTCCCGAAATTCAGCACGGATAACGATTCCTCCCAGACAAAAGGTGCCAGGACAGAAAGCTCTTGCTGATTAGGGAGTGCCAAGAGTGGCCCACCAGCTTGACCTCTAACACAAAGGTTCCAGGCTTTCTTTCCTGGGGTAAAGGGTTGTTGTTCCCTTGCAGGAGCCCTGTGCTGAAACTGCCAGTCCAACTCCCAGAAGTGAATATGGGCAAAGATTCCTCCAAGACAAAAGGTGCCAGGATAGAAAACTCTTGCTGCCCATGGAGTGCCCAGGGTGGCCCCCCAACTTTACCTGCATTACAAAGGTTACAGTAGGTTTTCTTTCCTGGGGGAGGGCAGTCATTGACTTGCAGGAGCCCTGTGCTCAAATTGCCAGTCCGACTCCCAAAATTGAATACAGAGGAAGATTCCTCCCAGACAAAAGCTGCTAGGACAGAAAGCTCTTGCTGCCTGTTACACTCTGGATTAAGCTATAAACTGCCCAGAGCAGTTACATTTTTATTTAACACTTTTCAAAAGCCTTTTGGTTCGTTATAACCTCTAATTAGCGTCCGGAGAAAGAGTCACACACTCTTCTCTAAGAGAAATTCTTTTTAATTTAGTGGAAAAAAATAAGATATTTTGGCAAAAGGTTTTTACAGGAGTAAAATTCAACCAAGGAAAAAGCATTTCATTAAAACATTCACACATTCCAGGCCAGAGTGAGTTGTGCTGTAGCCAGTCACAGGCTGCAGGGGTGTGGTGTGCTCGGGCTGCCAGGCAGGTCTGCCTTGACTGACAGCCCAGCTACAGGCCTTCAGCTCTGCCCTGTGCCCTCAGCACAGCCCTTACTATGTCCCTGCAGGTCCTTCCCCACCTGCACACACACACACACACAGAGTGAGTTGGTTCTGACCCATATCAATAATTCAGCAAGATTCAGATCCAGGATCTCACACCTTCCCCCCAGGAAAGAAAACCTTTATTATCTGTCTCTCATGTGCAGGTGGTGGGGCACTCTTGGCACTCTTTGGGCAGCAAAAGCTTTCTGTTGTGACACCTTTTTTCTGGGAGGAATCATCTCCTGTACTGACCTTCAGGAGTGAGACTGGTAGTTTCAGCACAGGGTTCCTGCAAGCCAACAAAAGCCCTTTTTTTCCAGGAAAGAAAGCCTGGAACCTTTGGGTTTCAGGTGCCCTTGGATTTTCACCCTCCGAGATCAAGAGATCAAGGAATGTTGAGGGTTTTTGGCAGCTTCCCAGGCAGGAGAGGAAATTCCCGTCCAAGTCCAGAGTGATCCTGAGTCATCACGGGAAAAACAAGTGAATAGAGGTCATATCACAAGCACCAGGGTCACCAACTGTCACCTGCTCCAATAAAACAAGTACACGGGTTGGGGAAGTGATGGAATGCTCAGTAACCATCAGGGTTGTTCACATGGCAAGAAAGTGTAGGGATGTCTTGTTAAGAGAAGGTCACGAAAAATGCACCCATGGGTGTGTGTTCCAGGAGTGGCACAGGGCCAGCATGGGACAGTTGCCAAGGAAGGAAGTCTGCTGTCCCAGCAAAGATGTCCATCAGGGCTGGAGAAGATTTACCCTTACTCTGATGGATTTTATCCCAAGAAAGATCTGGGTTTAATCTTCCCTGGGGCAAAAAGCCCCCTCTGTGAGAGGAAGGATGAGATCTGGGTGCTTCACTGCACTTTCCTAGCGTGGTGCAGCCCCAGGCTGCAGCTTGGTGGGTGCTGGGTAACCTCCAGCCCCTCTCCTAGCAAGGATTTTGGCCTCTCTTCCTGGCCAGGATCTCCCACAGGCTGTGACCTTACACTCATTTACCCCGTTAGAGCTTCTCCTTTCCTTCTCCTCCCTCACTTGAATTGCCAAGCACCTCTGTTTTGCCAATGAGCTGGTAGTTTTTTTGTGGAAGTGAAACTTCTCAGGCCGTGTTTCCGGAGCTGTGGTACTGCTGAAGCTTTGCCAATCAGCCACCACCCATCCCACCACCACCTCTTGCTGGCTACAGCCCACCAGCACCTCCAGCCTCCAGCTGTAAAGTAGTTTTGGTGGAGCAACACCAGTGACAGCAAAAAAGGAACTGTAATTTCAGGTTGGAAACAACCAGTTTTGGTGGAAACCTCATGGTGCAAAACCCCCCATGTTTGTGCTGTGTTCACCCATCAGCTCCTGAGCGGCTCAGATTGCTGCACTCAGGTGTAGAGAAGTTGCCCAAAGACCTTTGCCCTGGGGAGGAAAGCTGGAATTTCCCAGTTTCAGACCTTTAACCAGCAAGAAGTAGGATTTTCAACTTTACACAGTCACAGGATTTTATTTCCTCAATGAAAAGCAATGTGAAAATATTAGTGGGTATTTTCTGCTTTCAAACACACACACAAACACACTCTGTTCCCTCAAGGCATTCCTGCTTCAAACTCAAAGCAAATAACCACATAGCTGACCAGACTGGGCTCATTGTCATTACTTTCTTTGTTTCTTTTCACATTATTCAATCAGCTAATTACAAAAAGCATTACCTGGAGGGAAAGGAGTTGAAGTGAGAACCAGCTTAGGGCAACCCTGGAGCTTCAGCCAGGCCTGATCCAGGCAGATATTTCACCACACTCCCACCCTTAATCACAGGGGAGCCACTGTGATTCCAGTGTGCACCATTTCTGCAATACAAGTCCATTTACAAGTCAGGGAAATGGCTCAGATTCAGAGCAGGACGTTCACACTCAGGGACACCACTCACTGCAAAGGATGCTCAGCCCAGAGCACACTCTCTGCTCTGCTCAGCACATCTCACTGGAAGAACAGCGTGATCTCTACCAGCAAGTCTGAGCCTTAAAGACAAGCATCAAAGTTTTCAGAGCAAAAATATTACATTCTCTCCCCGAGGGCAGGAGAGAAACAAGCAGAAGACCAGCCCACACACATTCACACGCACTGTCGGGGCTGGGGGATGGTTTCTGGGGGAGTTTTGCTAATGAAGCCCCCGAGATGTCTCAGCTTTGGCTCAGGGCAGGTTTTGAAATCCAGGGCCAGCTCTGTGGCCTTCTGTCCAGGAGACGCAAGAGACACCAGCACTTCCCAGCAGAGCACAAGTCTGTCTGTGAGGCACCTCCAAAGATTTTCTAGAGTGAAACCTCCAGTGGGTCTTCTTTTGAATCTTCATGGTCCTCATTCTCCAGCTGCTCCAGTTTGCTGGATTTCTCATGGACAATCTCCCCTGGAGTCTTCAAAAACCTGCAATACATTCTTGTCATGACTTTAAGGGTATGTCCAAACCCAGCCCCAAACCAGGCTGTAAATACTGGAGCCTTTGCCCTCAACAAGGCCAGGTTGGATGGGCCTTGGGGCAACCTGGTCTAGAGGAAGATGTCCCTGCCCATGGCAGGGGAGATGAACTTTAAGGCCCCTTCCAACCCAAGCCATGATCAGCTGATCTCTGGAGCTCACCAAAGGGGATCTGCCACCCTTGGGCTTTGCTGAGGATCCCAGCTCTTGCTTGGAACCCAGGAAGCACCATCAGATGGGACCTGGGTTCATTTCTCTGTTCTGCTTCATCTCACCTGAACAGCAGCTTCTGCCCTGGCTCCTTTTTGATGATGTTGAGTTTGTAGTAATGTCTGAGTGCTCGTGACATCTTCTCATAGGTCATGTTCATCCTGTTCTGGAAAGGGGAAGAATTGTGGGGTGTTGAGTGAAAGCAAGTGCCAACACCTGTTTTGGGTCTGTCTGCAGCAGGACCACTTGTGGGACATTCTAGATGGTTCCAGTGCAGGTCTCCAACCCAGACTGGCTTCACAATCATCATTTTGCTTTCCAGGGGATGAGAAAGTCCCTCTTTCATTACCAGGTTGGCATCTCAGCACCCACTGTGCCCCCCCTTCCCTGTGCCACCAGCCCTGGGGAACAGGCCATGAAAGGGACCTGCAGAAGCCCAGGGGTGATAAATTTGTTCTTGACAGCATTTACCTTGTGGTTCCCCCAGAGCTGGGCAAGTCCATTGGGGTTAACCACCCGGAAGACCTTGGCTTCCTTGTCTTCCCACCTGATGTAGGGCTCGTAGCGGCTGTCGGAGAGGAGCAGGTACACGTATTCCCACAGCAACCTGCAGTCTTAGCATTGGGAGGGGGAATAAATGGTCACAGAGCTCCCACTGTGCTCCAGCGAGGGTGTATCAGCAACAGGATCACATATGGCAGCAGTGACAATAAATATAAGAAGAGCCCAGAGCACTTGTATTGCGAGATCTCAAAACACAAGCACGAACTACAGTTTGTTCAGGGGGGGAAACTGAGGTGGGGAAGCACGAAATAAAGGGGAGGGAGACAGCTGGGCAGACAGGACAAAGCACCATGTCATTTCCCCAAGGAGACAGGCTACAAATTCTTAATTACCTGCCATTTTCCCATCCACTGGGGCCAACGGGGTTGTGGGAAAGGAGCAGATGGCACCTGCCCTGCAGCCACTCTCTGAGCTCTGATGGGACAGGTTCAGTGGCTCCATGTGGCTGTGGAGCACAGGCTGTTGTGCACAGCCCAGCCAGGAGGGAACAAGGACTGGGGCAGCCTCAGCACTGCAGTCTGCCCCTGCAAATAAAAGGGAGAAAAAGCCAAATAAACACCCTGTGGCACATTAGGGCAGGTCCCAGATCTTCCAAAGCCCTGAAACGGGAGGGGAGGGACAGCCCAGGGTGGTTATCAGCCTGGTGGAGCCCAGGCAGGGGAGGAGGGTGCTGAGGAAAGCCTGGGATTTTCCTAAGGCAGGAGCAGCAGAAAGTCCAAGAGGGTCAGAGGAGATGCCAAGTAGGGTCAGGGTCAGGTACAGAGGAAAAACTGGAACAGGAGGATGTGCCAGAGCACAGGCACCCCCTGGCAAATTGTTGTAGAGACTTAAGGTGTTCATTACTTTACAAGAGCCAGCAGAAGTGCTCAGGATCCACCTCCCAGATCTACCTCCACACACAGCCAGCCACTGATACCAACCTCTCCCCACCCCAACCCCTTCCTGGGCCCCCCCCCCCCAGGGCACTAATAAGCCTCACTGGCCCCCACAGCCTCACCTGGGGCCTCTCCCCACTACCCTTTGGCCCAGAAGCTCTATTTAAGCTCAGCCCTGGCTCCTCAGCCCTTTCCCAGCTATGCAGCAGGACCAGTCTCCAGCAGGGCTGTGCCTCTGCCTGACGATTGACCCTCCCTGATCCAGATCTCACTCTGCAGGCAGATTTCTTAGGGAAGTCACAGACCTGCCTGGTCACTACAGACCCCCCTGGTGCTGCTTAGGCCTGATTCTGACCAGACCTGCTTCATCACCACAAACTTCCCAGATAACATGGACTTTGTTGGACCTGGTTGCCTCTCTCAGGTGCTGTGGGATGGGTTCAGCTGAGCTCCAAACCCCAGGTGTGTGCAACCCACTGGAGCTGTGGGCAGGTTCTGCTTGCTGGGCAGCTGCTGTTCTCCATCCTACCTTCCTCCGTGCTCCTGGCCTTCCCAAAGGGTGAGTTCAGCAAAGGGCTGCACACCAGAGCTCTTCTTTGAGTCTTAATGAAGCAGAGTATTTCATAAAGCACATCACCTACAGGGAAGGCAACTCTGCTCAGATGACTTTGAATAATGGACTTTCTCAGGGTGATGTTGCTGAGGTTATAACATAACATAATAACAAGGTTATTGCCCCCCAACAACAAGGGTTGTCCTTGTCTCCAGCACCAAAGTGCTAAAGCCTGGTCTGCTGGGACCCATCCAGCCCCTCTCAGCAGACCACAGGTTGTGCTTGGATGATCCTTGAGACCCCCTTGCAGTGGGTCTAACCTGAGCTGGGAGCTCGGTGTCTGAAGTCCTCCTTGGTGAGGATGCACAGGGCTTTGCCGTTCATTTCGAACTTGCTCTCGTCAGTTTGCCGAAGGGAATATTCCTTCTCAGCCCATCTGAGCCAGTGGATCACGTCATCCTTGCTCCACAGTGCGGGCTGGATCCCTGAAACCAGGAGCAGCCTCTGAAACAACTCTATCTCCATCCTCAAAACTGCTCAGGGGCAGGGTGGGATTTCTTCTCTATCATCAAATTTTCCCTCTGTATTAAGCACTCACAGATCAAAAACACTCCAAAGAGAGAAAATGAACCCTGATGACGCTTTGTCCCTCTTGCCAGCAGGGAATGGTCCCTGGGTGGGACACTGTGGCTGCACCCACCATATCCCACCCTGTCCTTTAGTAAGCAGCTTTGACTTGCTCAACCTCTACTCACTCAGCCTGCCTGGAAGCTTGAAGATCTCCCCAGTGCTGATGAGTGGCTGTCTGGCCTGGGATGGGGGTGGTAATGAAGCTGCCACAGCAGGGCTGGAAGAGCTGATGGCCACTTTGCCCTGGGGAGAAGAGATCAGACATATCAGTGGGGTCAGTTCCCAGTCCTGGCTTTGGAGATGCCTGCTCCAGTATTTTCAAGCTGTTTTCTCACAGCAGCCTGTTGTGCTCTCTGCAGCTCTTCCATACATCTTCCTCACGTTCTTCCTCGCCCCAGCCCCAGGATGAGTCTCTGGTTGCCCAACTCAGTTTTAGTAGCCAGAGATTCCCCTCTCTTTCTCCAGCTCTTGCCTTTAGCAGAGGAACCTGCCCTCAGTCGGGCTCTGGAAGGAGGTTATCCATCCCCACTGCCCCAGGGGCTTGCAGTAGATGGATCCAAGACTGGCAGAGCCTGCAGTGCCTGTGCTCCCAGTTCCTGCAGGATCCTCAGATTCTCATTGGATGCCCAGGGTTTTAGGACAGCATTCCAATTATTTAGAGCTGAGAAATAAAGCTGGCAATAGTGCTTAGATTTTGTCTTAAAAACACTGTATGAAGAGAGATCTCCAGCTTTATCCCCAGTGATCATTTGGGCACAAGGGGAAATGGCCATCCCACCCCTTTTGTTGATCAGTCATTAAGTTCCAGCCCTTCAACAATTATTTTTCTCTCTCAGCCAGAGCTCATGAGCCACAAGGGAGCTCAGATCCTGCTTCCAGCCCCATCTAGATCTCGAATATTACTGGCAGCCAAGCAGATAATGTTTCCCCTTAAAAATCTATCGATGTGAACCCCAGCAATTTCTCAGCTTCACCCACTGGAAAATTAACAATTTTGCAGGCAAATGGTATTTTCTAAAGCAGTTGCCAACTCTGAGCACTTCAGGCTCAGGCAGGTTTTTGGAGGTGGTTAAAGCAGCCACCCCTTGACTGTGTGTGCAGGGTAGAGAAGCTGAATATCCTGAAAATCAGAGGTGAAGAATATTACAGTGGTGAGGGCTGGAAACATCTTAAACGCAAAGCTGATGTTCCCAAAACCAGGAGAATGTGGGACAGGAGGAATGCACTGCATCCCTCCAGGGAAAAGTGCTTCCCTGGCAGTAGCAGCAGGTTGGTGAGGGGTTTTCCTCAGCAGAAGGACAATTTGGTGGCTGCTGGTTGTCTCTGTAAAGCAGGCAGGTCCATATGACACTGCACAAGAAAACCAGTGGGACTCCAGAATAAACTCTGAGCAGGCTTGGCAGCAATGCAAACTGTCTTTCAGATTCATTCTAAGCAATAAGGGGAAAATAAAAGTGAAAGAAATGAGCAGTGTATTTTGTCTAGAACTATCTAAAAGTTATTTTATTCTCCCATCAGTGAGACTCTCTTACAACAAGATTTACAGTAAAAACAGAACAAATCTGGTGTTTTTCTTGCTCCTAAAGATTTCTAGGCCACGAGATACATTCTGAATTTTTATTACTTTATCCTGATTTTATGTTCTCGCTTTTATCCCCGCTTATCTGCTTCCACACGTTTCCAAGACAGCTTTTCTTTGCTTCAAAAGGAAATACGGTCCTTGGAGGGGTTGGAGCGGGAAAGCCAGAAAAAAAAGGGGTGAAAAGGAACCCCCAGATGTGTGAGAGCAGCTTTTGGCTCAGCCCCAAATGGGTGGGGGGGCGAAGCCCCGCGGCTGCTCCGGGCTCTGCGAGGCCCTTTGGAGATGGGCTGGGTGGGGTGGGGGGGTCACCCTTCAGCCGGGGGATGAGCTTCCACCTCGAATGGAGGGGGGAAAGCCCGTGGGGACGGGGAGGAGGGAGGACGAGGGCCCGGGCAGGGGACAGGCGGTTCCTACCTGCATCCCCGGTGCGACCCGGAGCCCTCGGTGTCCGGCACGGTCAGGTCCCGGCCCCGCGGCCGCCGCGGCTTCGGCGCGATCGTGGCGAGAAACGAAATCGAAACGAGCCGGAGCCCCGGGAGGCAGGAGAGCGGCGGGGGGCAGCGCCCGGGGCCGTGGCCTTCACCCCCCACCACCACCACTCCGCCCCTCTCGGGGCCGTGGACCCGAATCTCCTCCCGCTCCTCCTGGGGAATCCCGCTCCGCCCGGAGCATCCCGGTCCTCCCGGGGCATCC